ATCGCTGCTTCACTGATGGAAATTCGGTCACCGGTTCACCCAGAGTTCATTTCTCGGTTGATGGCATTGCTTGGCATCCAAGTTTTCCATTCAGTTGATTTTCACCTTGTTATTAGGTTCAACCATATGGGTCCGCAGGGAAACATGTTGGAAGTGTATAGCCATGAGCCCACCAGATGGAATTTAGTTTTCCCTTTTATTTACAATGCTGCAATCCTCATTGTACCAAATAAAAGACATTAATTATGGAGAGCGTCTTTTATTTGGTAAATTATCGTAATTAACTAAATTAAAAGGTATAAAAATTATAAATAATCAAAATTTAAGTGAATTAATTTAAATATAATAATTTTCCATGACTTGAGTGTTACTTCCACTTTTTGGTTTTTTATTTCCTTTCTTAGAAACGTGTTTCGTTTTTCAACACTCAAATGGATTAGAATTTATTTATTAAAAAAAAAAAAGAAAAAGAGAGAAAGAAACAAAGAAACGAAGACTCTAGACTTGGGTCGTCTGGGCCTTCTGGATTTCTCCATAGTTTTTGAAGTAATAATTGATTATCCAATTTTATTATTTTTTTAAATACTTCCTAAAAATATTATTCAATTAAATAAATTACTAAATTAATTTTTAAAATTTAATACTTATAATTTTATTATTATATATTTTTAAAGTTTTTAAGGCAAAAATTAAAAATAATTAAAATATATTTAAATACTTTTAAAAATAATTTTAGCTAATTTAATACATCAATAAATTAGTGATAATTATAATAATAATAATAAATAACTATTAACTCATTAATTTAATAATTTATTCTATTTAATTTTTTATATTTATAAAACTGTATTAAATTTTATTCAGAACAAAGAAACAATATTAAAAATTAAAAAAATTAAAAATTTATTAAGGACCAAAAAAAAAAAAATATATATTTTAAATTAATTTGTATATAGATATTATTACTCATAAAAATATATAAATATTTTGTACTCTTAAAATAAATAAATTTATAGACTACTTTTTCAGAAAAATATTAAAATAATATTTTAAAATAATCCAATTCTATCTTCATTTTTATCATCATTCTCTTTAACTAGGTGTAGAAACTATATATATATATATATATATGAACACACACACATATACACATACACTAACATCATCTAGAAAATCAGTGAGAGAAATCTGATCATGGAGACGGCAAGAACACATCGCAGAAGCATCTTGCTCTTATGCGGTGACTACATGGAAGATTATGAGGTTCATATATACATACATATTCATATATATGTTATATAATTAATTATTTTCTTATTTAATAAAATTTAATTTAATTTAATTTCAGGCCATGGTTGCTTTCCAAGCATTGCAGGCCTTCGGACTTTCTGTTCATGCAGTCTGTCCAGGCAAGACGGTCGGCGAGTTCTGCCGGACCGCCATTCACGGTCTCTCTGGCTCTCATCCTATCGTATATATCCATCTACCCTTCTCTTTTATTTATTATATTTATTTTTCATATAAATAACAAATTTGTACAAAATAACATGTAATATATATATAGTAATGGATAGTTTTACCGACAGAGAATTTTCTATTGCAATAAACACTATAAAAAAATTCAAAATATAATTTTGTTTTTATTATGTTACAGAATTATTACGAGAGAATTGGTCACAAGTTTACTCTAAATGCAGCGTTTGATGAAATTGAGTGGAGTCAATATGAAGGATTGGTGATCCCAGGAGGGCGAGCACCTGAATATCTTGCAGTGAATGCTTCTGTTGTGAACCTAGTGAGGAAGTTTTCAACTTCTGGGAAGCCCATGGCCGCCATTTGCCATGGATCTCTGGTGTTAGCAGCTGCAGATGCAGTCAGAGGTCGAAAGTGCACGGCGTACCCAGGTGTTCGACACGTGCTCAAAGATGCTGGTGCCATCTGGGTTGAACCAAAAAGCTTAGCCGATTGTGTTGCTGATGGAAATGTTGTCACTGGTGTTACTTACTTTGGAAATCCTGAATTCATTCGACTATTCGTGGCAGCACTTGGTGGCACAATATCTGGGGCTACTAATAAAAGGATCTTGCTTCTTTGCGGGGTAAGTTTTTGATTTATAGGTAGTACGTTTCTTACTCTAGAAGAGATCGTGGAATTGGTGTTCTTATGTATATCTTTATTTCGAGGTTATTTATATTGTGTTATATATATATATATATATATATAATTTTAATTTGTAGGATCACATGGAAGATTATGAAGTGACAGTTCCTTTTCATACCCTTGAAGCTTTAGGGTGTCTAGTGGATGCAGTTTGCCCTTACAAAAAGAAAGGTGAGACCTGTTTAACCGTTGTTCATGATTGGGAAGAAGGATCTCAAACTTATAGTGAGAAGATCGGCCAACATTTTACTCTCACTGCTGATTTTAATAGTATAAGCAACTCGAAATATGATGCTCTTGTGATTCCTGGTGGTAGAGCACCAGAGGTTTTGGCACTGGAAGGAGGAGTTGTTGCAATTGTAAAAGAGTTCATGGGGGCAAACAAGCCTGTTGGATCTATTGGTCATGGTGCTCAGATTTTGGCTGCTGCTGGTGTTCTGAAGGTAATTATCAAATTTTACTTACTATAACTAATGTTTTTGAAATTTTTTGTATAAATCCGATTAACTAAATTAATTAACTTGACAGGGAAGGAAGTGCACTGGACATCCAGCAGTCAAGCTGGATATAGGTCTTGCAGGGGCGAGTTGGTTAGAGCCGGCTCACGTAGATCGCAGCTTCACCGATGGAAACTTGGTGACTGCAGCCTCTTGGTCAGCCCACCCTCATTTCCTTGCTGAATTGATGGGTTTGCTTGGCATACATGTATCCTTCAATTAGATAACCCTCTA